TGGTTGATGCCTGCCAACCCTATGTTGCCACAGGGATGAACGACATCAACCAGTGACCTGCTGTGGGCACCACATGCTGCAGGCTGGCCCCTCACATCTTATGCTGTGCACAGTGCTGGGGCCAGGTTGTGTTGCATGTGTTGTGCAGGGCTACGGCTGTACACATGGTGCAAGCACCAGATGTAGCCAGCCCACAATGCACATTGCATGCAGTGCCTCCACTAGACCACTCCTGCGGGCTTGACCTGGCAGATGGGGTCCATCTGTGTTTGACACCGCTGTGTTCAAGGGAAGCTGATGGTGGAAGAAATGCGGGGGAGCTGGGACCTGGGATGTATACAACTCAAGGGAAAGTGGTCCTTGGGGCTGTCAAATTCATGACAGTAGATACAGAACCATGACCTTGCTAATGATTGCTGAGCTAATATTTTGTCAATGTGATGCCTTGCAATGGAGCTTGTTTGTCTGCGCTATGGAATACATTAATTATACTTAAAATTATTTCTTTTGTACCTTACAATGTGACTTTTATTCTCATGTTTTATCTCATGCAAAACTACATAGGAACTAACCCAATTGATGCTTCGTGCCTCCCTGCATGCTAAGGTGCCCAGACTGGCTAACTGGAACAATAGAGCCAGATAGAGAAGCTCAGGGCCTTCTTGGAGATCCCGTGACTTGTGTTGTGAGGGAGATTAAATTAGAGCACAGCCCTGCTGTTCTGCTAACATTTGTACAGCTCAGACTGTTTACATCTGGGCTTTTCCTTCTGAGCTGTGCAGGACTCCAGGGAATGAGTCCCATGAGCCTTTGGAAGAAAAATACTGGATAATTCCTGTCCTCCTTCACTCCTTTTCTAAAAGGCATGGCTGAGGTCAGATGCATACTCAGAAACCTGGTTGGATTTACTCCAGTCATTCAGTGACAGAGGGAGCAGAGAAAGACCTCTGGGTTATCTGTGCTTCTGGGGATCTAGACTAGTGGTTGGTGCAGAGGAGATCTGAGAGATCACCTGGACAAAAGCAAAGGATCTCGGCAGGGGAAGCCTGAATATGACACAAGAGATAAGGAAACTTCCACAAAAACAATGTCAGTAAGTTTGCTGCATCGGTGATGTGTCCTCTCTTAGTAAGATGCAGAGGAGATTTTAAAACATTAAAAGTTGGAAAACCTGGGTACAGAAATACTGCATTTTATGTATAATAGACTCAAACCTACAAGAGTGAATGAAGACATTTCCAATGTTTTTGCTATTAATTCAGATAATGTTATAAAGCATATTGGGAGTGGGGTGGGAAGAGGGGAGGGGTGGGATTGGGACCTATAAGGAATTCATCTTTTTATATAATATCTTTTATTTCACATTTATTTGTTTCCAGAGTACATTTTCTAGGTGAGATCTATTGAAAACGATAGACTTTCAGATTTAAAGCAAAGAAAAAAATCCTGAGTTGTGACTGGGCTAGCATTTTCTTCACTTTCTAAATGAAATATCAAAATAATGTATTTTATGTAGGATCTTGCCAGGGAAAAATTATTTATTAAAATTGAATTTTCCATGGGGCAAACAATGGAATATTTCCATTCTTAGCATGAAATTTGGAGACATTATTAATAGGAATATCAAAGCCACTGAGTTTGTTACTCTCCTCCTTACCATGGCCCTTGTTTTATTATACCCAGGACTTGCACAGTGCCCTGGGAAGGAAGATGCCCAACTGGACCACTGTAACCAAGTTCCTCCTCCTGGGCTTCTCTGACACTCGGGAGCTGCAGATCTTACACTTTGTCATCTTTCTCGCAGCATACCTGGCAGCTCTGGTGGGGAACCTCCTTGTTATCACTGTTGTAACTACAGACCACCACCTCCACAGCGCCATGTACTATTTTTTGGTAAATTTGTCCATCCTTGACCTTGGCTCTATCTCAGTGACCATGCCCAAATCCATGTTTAACTCTTTATTGAACACCAGGCAGATATCCTATACTGGATGTGTGTCCCAGGACTTTCTCTTCTTGCTCTATTGTGCAGCTGATGTTGCCTTCCTTACCATCATGGCATGTGACCGGTACATTGCCATCTGCAAGACACTGCATTATGAGATAATAATGAACAGGAGAGCTTGTGTCCAGATGGCTGCCTGTGCTTGGGCTGCTGGTGTCATCTACTCTGCACTGCACACTGGGAACACCTTTAGTCTACCCTTCTGCCACTCAAATACCATCAACCAGTTCTTCTGTGAAATACCTCAGCTGCTCAAGCTCTCCTGCTCTAACACTTACCACAGAGAGCTGGCAGCTCTTGCCTTCAGTGTGTATTTAGGTTTAGTCTGTTTTGTTTTCATCGTTGTGTCATATGTTCAGATCTTCACCGCAGTGTGGAGAATCCCCTCTGAGCAGGGCCGGCAGAAAGCCTTCTCCACCTGCATTCCTCACCTTATCGTGGTCTCCCTGTTTCTTTCCACTGGCGGCATTGCCTACATGAAGCCCATCTCTGACTCCCCGTCCCCTCTGGATCTCCTGCCAGCTGTTCTGTATTCTGTGGTGCCTCCATTGATGAATCTGGTCATCTACAGCATGAGGAATAAGGAGATCGAAACTGCCCTGAGGAACCTGCTCCACAGGCTGATCATCTCCAGGAACAATATGTCCATCTTTCTTTCATGACTTTCCTTTTTGTATATTTTTCTTTTCTAATTTTCACATGAAATTATTTTTTTTTCATGGTATTGTGTGAATCTTACATATTAAAAATGAAGGTGGTGGGTTAATTCTGTAACTTTATACGGTCAAAGACTTGGCTTTTATCATTTTGGTTGACACTCTTGAAGTGGGAAAGTAATGTTTCATGCGTCAATTTTACTGTCTTTGCAGCATCTAAAATATATCCCATCAATTGCAAGATAATGAAGAATTAAAGTATTTTGTTTACTAATTGGTGTAATCAATTATTCGGATGACAGAATATACAGGCAAATATCCAGATGGTGTGAATCTGGAATGAAGTGCAAGTACTTTAGGGGACAGGGACAGAGTTCAGTTGGATGTGGATAGACTGGGGAGCTGGGTTTGAAACAATAAGACCAGGGAGAGGGGAGACATGAGGGTGTATACATTGTTTAGCTTCTTACCCCCCGCCCCCCACTGGGTATAAGTACACAGTGTGCAGCCCCCAACCATTCCCTGCCTGGTTCAAGTGCCATGCAGTACAAGGTGTATATGTTGTCTAGCTTCTTACCCCCTCGATCTTCTCCCTGCAGCCCTGCTGCTGCTAGCCCCACTCTCAGGCATAAGGTGTCAGAGGGCCTAGGATCCCAAGAACTGCAGATCAACCAATGGAAGAAATCAATAAAAGACAATGTAGCAACCGGGACATCTCTAAATGTCACTGATCAAGGGCTAGAAGCCCTGGTCTGAGTTAATCAATGCCGGGGACCAACTTTTGGGCTGAATATCTCCAGATCTACCGCTCCCAGAGCCCTATTCAAAATTCATCAATGGACTTCCAAACCTGCACGTACATGTGGACGACCCCTGGGGCTGACAGATGCCATCCAGTAGCCACCGAGGGGGGAAGTCCCATGAGGGTCGATGACCCCTGGATTGGGCAAACCTGAAAACTGGGGAGTCACCAAAGTCTACCAAGGACAGATAAAAAGCAGTGAAAAGTGACCCTCAGCAGCGCCCTCTTGATCTCCAACTCGACCAGCACCCGACCTGTCCAGACAGAAGGACCAGCTGGTGACCCCCTTCTGGAGGATAACACCACGCTGAAAGAAACCTCGACTGGCCATTGACAGCAGACTCCAGCGCTTGTAGGATAGGTATACCTGACTCTTGTAGCTTGCTACTGTGTGTGTCCATGTGTGTGTGGGGGGGGGACTAGCCCCAAGGTTTATGATTTAACTTCATTACAGTGTAGCCAACACCTGTACCATCTGCTCAGAGGTTTTGGCGCCCCGGCCAGCCTGATGAAGGGGGTTCAGAGGCTCAAGAATGACAGGCGCTGTGTTCACATCATCTAGTGGCAGATCCTAGCAATAACTGTGTTGCTATTTATTACAATGAGAGGGGAGGTTTAATTCTAAAAGGAAACTGTTGTTTTTTTTATCAAAAGGATATGACCAGGTGAGTGTAATCCGTGCGGGAACAAACCCTTGTGTGAGAATGATTCAGTTATGACTACATTGCTAGATTGTATTCAAATTATTGGTTTTATTATTCTCTATTGATAATATATATATGTATATATGCCTTTTTTTATTAATTTCTCTATTCCTGTATATAGTGATACATATAATAAAGAAAGACATCTGTTCATTGGGCTTGGAGTAAATGCGTGGGCGGTGAGGGTGAGGGCCACACCTCTCTCAGGGACACCCTGGTCAGCAGATCTGCCTGAGGGAGGTCCCGAGGGCTCAGGCCCGGGGCCCGTACCGTTCGACATCTCGCTCAGCAATCCAGATGCAGGGGTGGCAAGCGTAGCCTGGGGAACGCTCTTCACACTGACTTTGAGGCTAACAAGGCTCTCAATGTCAGCATCACCTCTAGGACAAACGCGAGCTGGTGACACGAGGACATGGTCTGCAGGGCCTGCTGCAACCTGTCCCGCATCTACAGACATGTCACGGGCCCCGGGAGGCAATCTCACCCCTCTCTGTGGTGCCGGGCCCACTGCAGTCAGAGTCCCACATCCGGTCCCAAGAGGGAGGTGGCCGGCGCAGAGAGGGTCCGGAAGAGCGCCGCTCCCTCAGTCACGGAGCAGCGGAGCAGCCCTACAAAGCGAGGCGACCGGGCCCAAACCTACAAAGTCTCCCCCAGACTAGGTCATGAGAGCATCGAGTGACCATCAGCAAACTCACCCAGGGGAACGGCAGGCCTTGGGGGAGGGTCTGGTGCCCAATTCCAGCACCGCCCAGAGTCACTGGCAGGAACACATACCTCTTGTGACCAACAGTTTTTGTCTCCCACCCCTTTCTCATCAACAAACTAGCTGACTGTAACATGAATGCCTTCACAGTCAGATGGACTGGGACGATGGCCTAAAAAGCAGCCTGTTCAAATTTGCTTACAACACCGAGATTTGGGACGAGGTGGGTACACGAGTAGAGAAGGACAGATGACAGCAAGGCGTGGACAGGTTACAGGGGCGGGCTCACAAAAATAGGATGCGTTTCAATGCTGCCAAGTGCAGAGTGCGGCACTTGGCTAGTAGGAACTAGCAGCATGCTCAGAGGCTGGGAAGCTCCCTTCTTCTGAGCACGGGGGCAGAAAGAGATCTTGCAGTCATT